AGGTCCTATTCGGTTTCTGACATCCATATGTGAACAACTGCCTTAATTGCCTGTGAGAAGGTGAAGTTCGCTGATGGTAAGAAATACATGATAGCACGCTTAAAGTGCAGAATAAACTCTTTTCCTACGAGAAAACTTGTTAAAATTGGTTCTCATTCTTGAGATTTTGATGTGACAACTAGGGAGTTTAAAGGCGCAAGCCTATTTTTTTCTCAAATATACTGACTGACTGAACGATTGAAGACTGGAACTAACTTTATTGTTCGGTTATGCTTGCTGAAAGTAGTAGCAGTTCCAGTGATGATTTTGGGCCTGAACTTGGCACGTCAGCAAATCCAGTGTGTTTCAGTTGATTATTGTGGCGCACACAAATGTCTGAGCCGACCCGAATCTCGTAGGCGACGTCACCACGCCTTCAGTGAACAAGTCCAAGCGTCCACTTTTCCCGATTATTCCTGTTGTCCTTTACCGGCATCCCCTGGCCCGAGTGGAACAATCGTTGCTTTGCACCGTGGCTTTGGTTGGATTGCCTTTCTATTGACTTCGGATGGGCTGATTTATCAACAACACCGACAGATGACAGCAGATGCATTACGTCAAATGGGGCGCAAAGATTCCTATGCATCAACATTTCTGCAGAGGAGACACCATTGGACTTTTGGGGTTTGGGGTGGCTCGATAGTTCAGCAAGAATAATTCGAGAACTTCTCCCGTCGTCCCCTCCCCTTTTGACTTCTAGAGAGCCCGCCTGAAAGTGTAGACGAATTGCTCGACTTGTCCGTTAGACTGTGGATGATAAGGTGGTGAACGCACGTGATAAATGCAGGACTGCTCGCAAGATTGGGCGGAGCCACCAGTCAAGGCCCAACTCAATCGCATGCGCACACAGCCCCAACGAGTCGTCCCACACCACATGAACTGTCCGCTCACACAGAGTGCACGCCAGTAGGAAGAGTCAGAAAGCCAATCGAACCGCTAGCCACTTGAGGCAACAATCTGATTGGTCAAATACTTCAAATGCGGACCAACTTCTTTGCCCATCGAGCGATTGAAGACTGGAACAAACTGGATTATTCGGTTATTCTCACTGAAAGCCTAGAGATAATCAAAGGAACATTTGGTGAAAGTTTACTTGATGGCAGTAGGCATGAATGATTGATATATTGTACACATTACGTTCTGTAACATACGCATGAGTTGCCAGAATTGCTCTGTTAATAGGATTTCCAAGGCTCTGCCTATCTCCCTTATATATACGGAACTATAATGAGTAAAAGAAAATTAAGTCATTCAAACTGGCAAACCGCATCGTCATCCCGAACTCTTACTCAGGGCTCTTCAGGCCCTAACCCAGTGATGGTGCACACGGCGCCTTTCCATTTATTTCTACAAATGCTCTGTTATGTTTGTTGACAACGATCGTCAGCCTCAACCAAACATAAGCGTCGCAACCTAAATGTGCACGGAATTATTCAGGGTCTGGGCATATCAGATTCAACCGGCCTAAATCTAACAGACTTTTGTGCCCTGATTGTCCAAAGCACACCGAACTACCTGTTTTATCTTCCGAAACTTATCCTTATAAAATGTGCGTTAGGCCAGTTTGGACTTCTGCGCGCTAGTGAACAGCAGAAAAAAGTAGCGCCCCAGCACTTTTTTTTACTAAACATGTAGTGTCATCAGAATATCATAACTGAACGTACCAACAGCGTTGTGGGCATTAAACTTTGGTACATTGTGGCTTCAAAGATTACAGAGGGTTATTTTTGGGAGTTTAAACTGTAGGCAGTTGTAACCATAATCCCCGTAGGAGGCAACCAGGACGCTCTCAACGCAACAGCCACCGCGGCGTCCTTTTATTTTTTCCTCTGGCATGCACAGTAAGATATCGTCCGTTTTTTTAGTAAACATAACTGCAGTGCGACATATTCTACTCAGCAATATTAAGATCAAGTAAAATTATTCCTTGTTTAAGAGAAGTATCACTAATTTCCTACATTCAGGACATATTTCATAAATTTTTTTTGCTGAATCGGTGGAATCCGTCTTCTGGTCTGATGGCGAACGCGGCCTTTGAGCCCTGTGTAAGGATTCGTCTTGAGGGCGTTGGTACTGACTCTGCAGCCGACAAACGGTGAATTGTATACAATTATTAATTATTACAAATAAAAAGAAATTTTGCTTGGTATGCAACCACTTCTGGAAACTGGAGTTAACAATTTTCGAAGGTAATCGGACACTGTACGTTCGAATAAAGTCTTCAAAGTACATGTCCATAGTTTGTTTTTTCTCCTAACCAAGTAAATCTCATCCTTTTTCGCCTAAACAGCCTACCAGTCGAGGTTGACTACTTTTGCTCTGCGTTGCAACAATTCCACACATCCACAAAAACAGAAAATTTCCGTTTATCATTGTCTTATTGCGGTGAAGGAAATATTAATGTCTGTCATGTCAAGCAGATCCGCAACCCTTTACACATGCCTCTATCAGCTACGAATTAAAGAGAACGTTCGCGTTCTAGGTAGCCCCTATTTTGTTGCTGTCTCCTATCTCTGACGATGGACTCCTGTAAAAGTTCGAAGGCTCAGGATAATAAACAAAGTGATCCGGTGGTCGACCATTAATCTTCCTTACCTATCAGCTGCTTTATATAATCACGAATTCCGCTTTGTTAATAGTTGTTACTCATAAAAAATCCATCCCTTGGATAACACTCACCGCGCTGCCTGTCAGCATAAGTATACCACACATTTTTAAAGAGTGAATAGTTCGAATACGTACTAATTTAACACTACCCTGTGTTAATCGTTTTGGAAGCTGAACTTCACTAGGTCTCGTGTTTGTGTACACAAGGATTGCTAAAGCCGCGGGACTCGATTTTTTGCCTGCGGGAATTATGTGAGTTAGGCAGACGCATTCCTAGCATACTGAGAATGCAATAAGTTTCTTAATTTTTATATTTCTAGTCATATACGTATAACAAATCCATACAGCGGCCCGGATATGATAAAGCCCGAGAATTGTTTGCAAAAATATAAGGACCAGACTGACCGGCAGGAGCTGCGCTCACAATTCGGCTGTTTGGATGCAATTTTTCTTGCCTGACTGCATACTAGGTTGTTAAAACTACGATTGTCACATTCATACATACAGTTTGACGTCAGCCAAAGCTTCATAGATTCAGCCTAAAGATAAATGTGGCACACTGCACTTTTGCGGCAAACGCGATTCTGTCCAGTGCGCCGAGGTAGATCGGCGGCCATGAAGGATCCGAGTCCGATCGACACTATCTTCGGCTCGTTCGGATTTGAAATTTTATAATGTGCTAAAGCACAGTGAATTGTGAACTCATTTAACTAATGGGGTGAAGGTAAAATATGATATGCATGAATAAAGTTCAAGTTGAGATATCTGGAGGAATTAGTGTGCCGGAATACCCACGTGTTCAACAGAAACTTCGATTACCCCCAATGCTGGGTGCCGTTATTTTCGAAGTAATAATGTTAATGGGAAACGATGATTCCGAGACGTGGTGCGTTTTGCCTATCCAAATATTTCAGGTCGAATTTCGGCGCAAAACTCGAGCATTTGCTCTCATCGAGAGCTGAAATTATCAGTAGAATGCACCGGCCCCCGCCCGCCGAAGGAAATGACTTGGAAGAGCTATTAGGGGAGGAACCTCTACCCCCCCTTCCGCTTCCTTCACCGAATGTCCATGTATGGCCCGATGAAAAGGCGGCTGCTTTTTGCGCACTTACTCCTCCCTTGGAAACATTTATGGTGGTGCCGGATGAAATTCGCCGTGACCAATTTTTCCATGTGAGTTCAAACTTCTCTCTTTTAAACACCCTTATCTACACAATTTTAACTAGTCATACTCGGTAGCTGTGCGTGAAGCCAGTTAGCGACTTTGAGAATTTAGCACACCATCGCTTAAGTTTATCCAGTTTACGGCAATTGAGTAGTTAACAGTGTAATCTCGCTCCATATACAAGCGTAAAAAATCAAAATTTCTAACCGACTGTTTATAGTTGTTGCGTTTGGACAGCCACAATGGACATGTCTAGCGAGTATGTCACCGCCGTACCCTCTGCTGCTTAGCCTTTCGATTGCATTTATTTTATATTCGTCGTGTCACTTTATGAGTTTTTTTACTCATTCCTCTAACACCTTATATACTGTTTTATGTTCGCCTCAGACCGCCCGCCAAGATGACATGCTAATTGGATATGTCAGCGCCATCCAAGATTCTGGCTTAATAATCACCCTGCTGGCCTATGACCAGGGTCCGAGGAGAGACTTCGATCATCTGAAGTTGACCGTACGTCATATTTCTGTGTGAACAATTATTTGTCTTGAATACTCGTATTTCACTGTTATAATCACGCCTGATCTAGCCGACCGTAACCCTGTGACGCATTTGTCACAACAGACATGACAAAAAATTGGCAAATTTCATAAATAAACCTTGATCCCTAAAGCTTTGTGAACTCATTTACTTAAACGTTTCCTCGACCTTTTTGTTTTTTCACCGATGTCTATTTGTTAGTTTTTTTTGCAGCTAGACATAACATTTACTTTGCAAATACCGAAGGGCTTAAATGTTTTTTTTTCGGTTTCCCTATCACCGGGTTTTTTTAAAGTCAAGTTACCTCCTTACTCGAGACGCGACTCGGTTCTAACTTTCTTTCCAAGCATGCCTTTGTCCCTAAGTAGCTCACCAAAATTTAGAAAACGCAAGAAAACCTAATTGATTTCATCCTCAGTCATTTTCAAGCCGCGATCCGCGGGTTTTTACCCTTCGTCACCTAGAAGTCATTTTCACGTTTCTTCTTCTGTGGCAGTTGTAACCACAGCCTACCTTATACTACTTAACAGGGTTTCTGTCCGGTCAGGCAATTGCCAAGATACGCTGCGCATGGGAATGCTTTAGACGCCTTCCAGATTGGAGATAAGGTCCGAGGTAAGTGTGTGGATGCTGGACATTCCCATTTTTGTTCCTTTTTCGTTATCACTGTACTTGGACTCTGCCTTTTCCCCAATGTCTTCGGCTTATTTTTATATATTTTTGACGACCCACATATTAGCTTCGTGGTAAACAATTATACCCTGTTCCGTTGACTTCTGACTGAAGCTCTCATTTGTCCGTTTTTTCCATTTCAGCCTTTATCTTAGACGTTCATCACTCCGGCCGTCTTATTTTAAGCATGAACCCAAAGGCCATGAATCGCGATTTGTACGGTGATCTGAAGCTCGTAAGTGTCTTTCTTTTACTCTGAGTTCGGGTTCTTGTCCCCTTCCCGGGAAGGAAGCCAGTTTTTGTCTTAGTCTGTCAGCATTGTGGATTTGTGTTTTGTACCAGCCGTCCGGGTAGTTGTGAATATCAACTGTTCCTGCTCCGTCCATTGAGTGTATTTGCAGTATCTGGCGGTTTAAAATTTAAGCTTGTGTAGTCATGCATGCTTGGCTAAACTCATCTCGATTAAGACTCGCGCCGCTTAAACGGTAGCCCATAGCCGTAAATACTCTGTTAAATGCAGGCTGGTAGACTTGTTCCTGCAAATAACACCACGACTTTAATGTCGTGCGTTGCAAAATGCAATCCCTAAATTATATAAACTAAAATTACTTACACGTGTTATGGCTACGATCCTGGCTGATCCATCCGGCCTCGATGATGTCTCGGATGTCCTTCTTCACATGTGACGATGCGCGACAGGAGACCTGAATAGTTCAATCCACCCTCTTAGCAAGCGCCGAATACCGAAGGTCCAAAAGACACTTCCATGTCCTGACGGACTGAGTCCAGCCAGGTTGTGAACTGACTTACTTTTCAATGTCTCCAATTAGATAACGGTTTTGGGTTGGGGCAGTAAAATTGAACTCGTGAGGTGGAAGACGACGAATGTGTTCAAAACCACTTACGTCATCTTTTGTTGGATGGCCTGGAATGCCCTTGCAATATGGTAGCAGCGAGTGCGCAGTGCGTCATTTTAAACAAATTCGGTGCAATTCACTCAAAGCATGGTCCTCAAACAGTAGTAGTAGTAGTAGTAGTAGTAGTAGTAGTAGTAGTAGTAGTAGTA